TTTTCTGATGAAGGGTCTAGGCCCGAAACGTCAGCCTCTCTGCTCCTATGATGCTGCTTGGCCTGCTGTGTTCATCCAGCCTTGCACCTTGTTGTCTCATGACTCTTAATTGGCTTTCAGGAAAGAAAAGTCAGGCACTTTGAAATAAAGCAATCGGGGCCCACAACCTGCTTCTTAGTCTCTTGTTGGTTGAACTATCCTGAGTTTACAGTTAATTGTTGTTTGACTTAGGAAGTGAATCATGCTTGTGATTAATACCAGGAGCTTAATGTTGAACTTTGTCCTTTAGAGTGACCTCGCAGCAAAGAGCAAGTGTCTATTTGATCAGATGCAACTCTAAATCCTAATTTAACATGAGCTGTGTTTTAAAACTTGTCCCTTGTTCCAACAAAATTTATCAAGTGGCCAAAGGAACTGAAAGTTCTGCCTGTGAATGTGACATGTAATGCGTAGAACAAAATGGCAACCAATGGCTTTGTAGTGTTTCATGTTTTATTTGGAAACATTTGATTCTTTACTGGACTCTTTACTAGAAACTTACTAAAAATTAATTTGCAAAAATAAAACATTGTGTACGCAAATTTTGTTTTTAATTTGATGCTTGTTAACAAATGCCAGTGGGTTTAAAAATCTACTAGTTGGAAACTGAGGACCAGCTGATGATGATTACTAGATTGTTAGCTATGTACAAGCATAATAACCAAATCTGGAGGAGTAGCCTTTCTTCAGGCTGAGAGGATATATATTAAACTAAGAGCTAGACTAAAGCAAACCCATGTGAACGTATGAACAAGATCATGGCTGATCTGATTGTAATCTTAACTCTACATTCCTGCCTATCCCTGATTTTAATCTTTCATCCCCATGATAATGAAGAATCTATTGACCTCTGCCTTAACAATATTTAAAGGTACTACATCCATTGCATTTTGAGGGAATTCCAATGACACTCAACCCTCAGGTTTCCTACATCTGTCATAAATGGGCAACCCCTTATTTTTAAACTATAATGCCCAGATTTTCCCACAAGGGGAAACACCCTTTTCAGCATCCACCTGGTTAAATCCCCTTTGGCTCTTTGTTTCAATTAAGCCCTGGTGCTTTTGACTATGGAGTTATGAAGAGTGTTAAAATCCCAGACTGGGTCATCAAATTTACATTTCAGTCTGGCTAGAGACCAGTAACTTTTATTTTTAAAGTAGACAGTGTGAGATCCAAGGGATTTACAAAGGATAAATGCAGAAAATTCTACAATATTGAACAAACATCAATGAACTTTATTGGTAAAGTTTTACAATATTAGGACAGTAATCTAATCTACGTGTCACATTGCAAAGTCTGAATTGACATCATAATTATCAGTAAACTGTGATTGAACACCTATAGTGCATAGCAAATGCAGTCAACAGCAATCCCAGATTTCTCAGCAACAGCACTTGATGTTAATAACACAAGCCCACTTCTTCCCAGCCACCAAAGGAATTGCTTGCATAGGGAATACTTTCCGAGAAATAAACTTGTGTGATGATTCTCCTATTCTTATAGTGAAGGTTGGTACCTCATTGCTCTGAAAAGTAAGATTTGGCTGTCAATAATCTGACATTTTTCTTCGTTACATTGAGTTAATGATTTATTGAACACTAAAGGATGATGCAGTCAAGTTACTATACCATCAAAAGCTGATCAATGTCAATGGAATCCATGAATGTAAATGTTGTTCAATTAGTAATTTAGTAGTACATCATTGGGTGTTGCTGAATAAAAGCACATTTTGTTGAAACATCGTGATAATTTGTTACAAATGTCAAAGTTGAGGGATAATAACATTTCATTCTTTGGGAAGAAATAGTCATTTATCTTGCACATGCACTCTGTTAGAGATGTTGCTATGGAGAATGCACTAGTAAATGATTATGGACAGTCAACTGCCTAGTCTTTTGCTTAAATTTTAAGTAATCCTACTTGACTCTGGTCAAGGAATTGCCGTTGGAAATGAACCAGAGAATATTTTATTGAGTTGAGATAGGTACAGTGTGTGTAACTTTTATTTCTGTACATTTAATATTTGTAGCTTCTGGTAATGCAAGTGCATCATATTTCAAGCCTGACTGACCATGTAAATTCATTGTCAGCATAATTCTTTGCACGCTCGGTATTATTGTAGAATCACATCTAATGTTAGACGCTATTGAGTTTTGCAAGCAAGGGCTGGTTAGGCACAATCAGTACTCTGCTTGTTGTGAAAAGCCAAAGGAATTTTCAGTATGATATGATCCACTAGTCTTTTGGGATGTACAGCCACCATTCCTAGTATCGTGCTAGCATGGGAATTCATATACTACATAGTTAATTTCTGTGATGGGCTGAACACATTTTGACTTGACAGCAGTATCCTGTGTTGCTGCTGCGTATTTACAGCATGAAACTGCTAGCTTTACTTTTTGCACAAATGTTTTTAGACACTTTGTTTTCAGGGTAATTTTGAGGCAGGCTGAGCACTTTTCAGGACCAAGAAACACTTTGAGGTGCTCAATTGGAGTCATTTGGAATCTAAACTTCAGATTTTTGTGGTATAAAATGAACATTGATTTAGATATTCTTCAAAATATTCTAAAGAAATCATTTTATATTCTCTTGGCTTAATACTGTGGTGGATTACCTGTTAAGTTAATCAGTATTAAAATGGGAAATTTCAGACTGAAATTATAGCTATTGATCTGTAATAAGTATATTTTTCAAATTATTCTAATTAATAAAACTGAATTGCAGGGAAGGTTTTGTAATATTGATCAAGCTGAAGATTAAGGTGGCATCTTTTAAAGATGCATGCTAAACTTCCAATTATTTAATGAATTGTACATTTTTTGATTGATTTATCAAAGTTGTAGATGTAATACAAAGCTCTGATTTAATAGGTAATAAGATCTTTGTTTCTCCTCCTTACAGCTAATGATTGAAAAGAGTTCTGCCAACCACTTGGAGTACAGTCTACTGGAGAATGCCATTTTACTTTGCACATGTTTGATGAACAAAGACAGCAGTGCACGTTTGAGCCTCACTTCTGTGACGACAGCATTGTTGTGATAAAACGGAAGCAGTTGTTCATTGCTATCAAAATAACGTTGACTGCTTATAGCTGGTTCTTTTTAATACTCCTCACACCAACCCAGTGGTTGCAGCAATTTGAACTAATTACTGAAACCCTAACAGTGCAAAGTTTCAATCAGATACTATGCTTCATTTATGCATCTGAGCTTAATGTGGTTACATATGTACAGGAGAGGGTAAATATAGTCAGGGTCCTTCAGATGAGTCATATTGCCAGCGCTTGCAAGAATTTATTTGACAGTTGTGCTTTGCATATTTCTGGAATGGCCCATGAGGGAAAACCGTGCTCTCAGATCTCTGCTCCATTTTATTGCAATGCTGATAGAGAACTTGATTTATCCACTAAGATTTATCCACGAGAAGGAAATAAATCTTATTTGGTGAAAGTGGAGGATACAATGGCAAAACGACACTTGAAAGCAAGAGATCAAACATATTATGAGGAAAGTAAGCAAGCCACTGATACTCGTGGAATGGAAGGAGATGCAGAAGACTCTAATGACTCGGATGATCAAGAATCTTATAACCAAGAACAAATCATAGTTGAGGTAAACCTTAACAATCAGACTTTAAATGTTTCAAAAGGGACAGAAGGTGTGTCTTCACAGTCTGAAGAAACTGCAAGGATGGACTCCAGCGATGAGGATAATGAAGAGGAAGATGATGAAGAGGATGATGATGATGACATTGACACTGAAGATGATGGACAAGATGAGGATGAAGAACTTGAAGACTATATTAAAAACAGAAAATCCAGGGAAACCAGCAAAATGGGGAGAGCAGAAACAATTCCTTCAAGGGAACGTGCAAAGATTAATATGTCTAAGAGAAAAAGAAAAAATAAAAATCCCAAAGTTCCAACCCAGAAAGAAAAACAGATTGAAGAAAAACAAAATCTCACTTGTGAGAAATGCCCCAGAGTCTTCAATAATCGTTGGTATCTTGAAAAGCACATGAATGTCACTCACAGCCGAATGCAGATATGTGATAAATGTGGGAAAAAATTTGTGCTCGAAAGTGAACTCGTCCTTCATCAACAAACTGAGTGTGAAAAAAATATTCAGGTAGGCTTTTTTTTGTATTGGTGAGGTTCATTTTGTATTTTCTAAGTGAAGCATGAAATAAATCATCTGACAGAATTTGAAGATGTACAGAATGTCTTTCAGGTTCTGCCTTCCCTTTTTTGAAGATATGCTCATCTTCTTGTCATCTCAAGGCTGCAAGGTTTTTCACCTGCCAACAATGATAGGTGGTCTGGGAGCAGACTGTGTTTATGTGATGGTGTTAGTTAATTACAAAAAAGTTATGCAGTAGTGTAATGACCAACTGATTTCTATTCCTTTTCACCCCTTTCAACATGCATGTGGGATGTTACACAGCTGTCACTAACCAGTTAGTATCATAGCTGAGATGAAGTGAAAATCTCAGTGAAATGGAAGCTACAGTCAGCAATATTCCTCTCTGGTTTAGTCGATTCAGCATGACCTGCTTACTTGTACACAATTTTAACAGTGTAGCAATTTCTGGTCCTGGAAAGTAAACTTGTTTTCTACATTTTGAGTAATTTTCAAAACTTTCGTGACTTTATAGTTGAATTAAGATGGACCTAATATGAAAAAAAATAGTTCCAACATCCTTTGAATCATTCAGTGGAATATGGATGATGGATACAATTGAGATAACATTGTGCATATTGAAGCAGTATTCTCCCTGTGATTCAATTACATTTGAGTTGTTATCAAGGATAAATACCAATATATTAGGTTTTTAAAAATTTATTTCAATGCAATTATGAATTCATTAGAAAGCAGCTAAAACAATGCTTTCCTATGAGATTTAATGTGATCAGAGTGTAACCAATAACCCTGAGAAATGACTTGAATGTTTTATCAAGGACTGGCAAGGTACTAGTCTGGCAAAACCATTATAATGCTTGTCACAGCTGGTGACTTGAAGCGTGACATCAGTTACACATTCATCTAGAAGTGGAATGAATTCCTGAGTCAGCTATCTTATTTCTGTATTGAATACGTTGCTAGTCATCCTTTTTGTTTTGTTTTTTTTTAAATCATTTGAACAGAAATGGTATCAATGTGATATGGTTGACATTCAATTCATTTTCACTTTTTTTTTGCATGATGTCCTGAATGTTTGTTTGCTTTTGATGCATAAATCTAACACTTTCAATGTACATTTTAAGGCCAATATGAGAAATAGTTTTTAAAAATGGATAATTCACCACTGTACACTCGAAGGTGGTTCTCTCCTAATGCCTGGCTGATGTTGCATGATTAAAGTCCTGAGCAGTTTGTTTAATGAATTTGGGGATTGATCATCTTTGTTACATTATTGCTTACTAATGATTTAAAATTTCTCATCTTTGTTACTATTTTCCCAAAATTTGAGGGTGTCAAGAGAAAAACAATGAATACATTTATTACCTAAGATTAAGTGAAAATTAAATGCCCATAACATTTTTATATGCATAGGATGCTTGGATTTTTTTGTGTGTACACTTTCTAATTGAAGTCCATTTTCTAAGTTTATTTATTGTACAATTGTCACTTTTAATTATTGAATGTAATACCATTTTTATGATGCTTTTCATATCCCTCCAAGTTGTAAAATCAATTCATTGATTTTTTTTAGATTTTTTGTAAATAATGGGAAATCTAATTTTGGGTAAAACTGATGCTGGTTTTTTTTTAAAAGACAGTTAAAGGAAGAGTGGATATGCTAAGTTATCCTACCAAATCTCAAATAATTAGAATCTATTTTGTTTTTTTTTCAACAGCTTGTGTGGGCTAAAAGCAAAGTAATGACGTTTGTAGGAACTGAACATACAATGCAAGGTCATTAGCCCAATTTATTACATTTGAGTACTGAGCTTTATAAAATAGATATTAAATACTGGCTTAAAACTGTTTTTTTAAAAAAAAAAAAAAAAATTTTTTTTAAAAATTGGTTGATATTTAGTAAGGATAATTTAGCATATCTACTCTTCCTTTTGACCTAAGCCTGAATACTGCAAAATAAGCATTCCAAAACACGCCCATTCAGGCTACTTTGACATTTGACATAATGGAAAGAGACTTAACATGTATTACGTAAAGATAATTTTATTAAATTTTGCAGGTATTTGCTCATTTTCTGCATTTTTCTTGCTATTTTTGTTTTCAAAGATCAGCTCTTAATATCTTGATTGGTTATGATGGTAATTATAGCTATACCCCATGTTTACTATAATTTACACTGGCTACAATCAATTATCATTAACTTTATCATAATTAGTGATGATTAACTAAAATATTGCTGAGCGCGCTGCAATGATGGATCTGTGCAGTTGCCATCGGCATTCCTAGGTTGTGGCAGGGAATCAGCAATCAACTTTCATTCATGATCCTTATCCAACAATCTTAACTCCTTTTTTAAGGACTGGGCAGGTAGGGGTACCTCTGGGTAAGAGGATTTTTCTTAAAAGCTGCCTCGACTTTAAGGTAATAGGAAGTGTGGATTCTTTGAATGTATATGATAGCATTTGTGTAATACATATCTATTTATTGCAGGGGAAAAAAGTAATTCTTGTCAACAATTTAATCCCTTTATTAGGTCCAGGGTGCCTATCCAATTTGTGGGAATCTTCTAGTTATTTCTAATTTGCCCATTGAGTATTCGTATCCATTTTTCATGTGCCATACCATATTCAGTGGACAAGGTCAGAAGTCACATGGCACCCAGGTTATAGTCCAACAGGCTTATTTGAATTCGCTAGCTTTGGAGCACTGCTGCTTAGTCAGGTGAAGTGACTTCAGATTAACCTATTGGACTAATACCTGGTGTCATGTGACTTCTAACCTTGTCCACCCAGTCCAATATCGGCATCTCTGCATCATATTCAGTGGAACCATTCCTTATACCCTCAGGAGATCAAGATCTTAGATAAATAATAAACTACCCATTGTCTCCTTTATCTGGGGATTACTTAGAATTTAATCAACTTTACAGTGGGTGCAGGCTCAAATTCTACGCTAGCAAATTTGCACTGTGCAGGAAAGAGATTTAACATTGTTACATAAAGATAATTTTAAGTATTGCAGCGTTTTTGTTCCTTTACTGTACATCAAGCTGTTGTATGTCCAGACTTGAACAGTTTTTTTTACAGACCCTGGATTGCAAAAGTTGAAACCATTATGAAAATGAAATTAACACAGCAAGTTGACCACAAATCGTAATTCAGCTGATTAATGTGCCTAAATGTAACTTTGAGATTCTAAGCTTCTTTCTGATTTTTTTTTTTCTTAAAAAGCTCCATTGACATGCTTCCATGTGAGCATATTAACTTGACTACATAAGAAAAAAGATTATATCTAATATTTGACCAGGAAAAAGGAATAAGTATTCTCATTCTATCCATATACATAAGGAAAATTCCAAGTTCACTCTCTGGTAAATGTTTAATCTGAGTGAAGTGGCAGCATGGGCATTACCATTATCTTCAGCACCTCCGAATTAGGTAGAAGAAAAATACAGAATTAGCTATCTGGTGCACTGAGCAAGTGCAGGATTGTACTTGGCTGTCAGGGCCTGTGCAGTAAAATTGCCTGCTAGTATTCTTGGTGTCAGTGCTCATGCATGAAATATTTAAGTGGTATTATGGCGGAGCAGGTATTCATTGAACATTGAAGAAACGTTAATGCTGTTTTATCTTTACAGATGCTGCCAGGTGTGCTGAGTTTTTCCAGCAATTTCTGCTTTTGTTTATTTCAGATGTATGCACAGTTCTTTGTTTCATTATACTCATTGAACATAGTCAGCTGTAACTTTTTTGGTAGCATTCCTGCTGTGAATCATAAGGTACTGATTCCAAATCCCTGAAGATGGAGGGAATATTGTACTGTTGGAGTTGAGGAGTTAAACTGAAGGTCTGATCTACCTGATGAGATGAATGTGAAAGATCTTGTAACACTATTTCAAAGAAGAGTGGGGTGGGGGCGTGGTGTCTAGTAATCACTGCCAGGCGGATAAGTCCTTGCTCAAATACTGGGCAGCATGGTGACTCACTGGCTAGTACTGGTGCCTCACAGCGCTAGGGACCCGGGTTCAATTCCAGCCTCAGGCAACTGTCTATGTGGAGTTTGCACATTCTCCCAGTGTCTACCCAGGTTTCTTCCAGGTGCTCGGACTTCCTCCCACAGTCCAAAGATGTGCAGGTTAGGTGGATTGGCTGTGTTAAATTGCCTACAATGTTTCGGGTGGGAAATGCAGGTATAGCGTAGGGGGTGGGGTCTGGGTGGGATGCTCTTTGGAGGGTCGGTGTGGACTTGTTGGTCCGAATGGTCTGCTCCTACCCTGTAAGGATTCTATGATCTGTTAACTGTGGTGATCTTGAATGACTCCACTGTCCTATCAGGTTAGATGATGTATTCACAGAATTATGAACACAGACAAAGTAACTGTATATCTTTAGTTGCTTTATCTTGAATAATTACTCAGTTTAAGAGTTTTTAAAAATATTATTTTGCAAATTATCACACTGAATTAATTTTTATTGCAGAATGGAATACCACAGTGTGAAGGTAAATTTAATATTTGCGTGTTATACTCTTTCAGGCTTGTTCAAAGAAACCTTCGAGTTAGCTTCAGGTTAAGTACCTTGACATGCTGTAAATTGAATACATTGTATTCAGTGTTTTTGAATATAGGAACTCTTTCATTTGAACCAACATGTACTGTGTATGCTTAAACTATCGAAAGGATCTCCAAAGCACGTGCATTTCAATTTTCTCACGACTTCTGGAAAGTGATTAAAATATTTTGCTTTGTTTGTAGCATCTCTGCAGTTGCTACAACTCCCTGTAGATGGTGCAAAAGTCCAACTTGAAGTGCCAACCTAAATGTTAAATATCTCCTCCATGTATTTATTGTTTGATACGTTTGTGCTTTATTGTATTGACAACATAAATATTTTAGTAAGAAAGTTATGATTTATTCAAAAGATTTCATCTTGTAATGAAAAAATGATATGGCTGTAAATTTCTAAGTAAATAGTGTATACATGCTATTGTCTGAAGATAGTTAGTTAGCATTCAATCATATTGGCAAAGTGGTGATCAGCCATGTTGTTCGTGATGAACCTTTGATACCTGCTGTCCCTGTTTCAGTTGTGTAATGGCTGATTAGTGACGATCCTCCTGGCAGGATCAAGTGGCTTCAAGATTTCATGCCTGATGATGGGAATTTCCAAACCACATCAATTCTGCACAGACCATTTGATAAATGACACCTAAGCCAGACTAAATCACAACACTCCATGTTACTGATGGACTGACAAATGGAAGGGCGAGGTCCATTTGGCTCCAAATAACTGCTCCCTAATGGCTGGGCAAGCAGTAGGAAATTTGCTTTTTGAGGTGCAGTTTTTGTTAGTTTAACTACAGTATCTTTTGGCTATACTTAGGATCCTAAATTTTAGTAAACTGCACCCAACCTATGTAAATAGGAAAAAGTGGTTCAATTGATTTGTGTAAACAGTGAATTCCGGTTTACACAGGGCTCCACATACATGGCATGTGTTTATCTGGATTGAGTAACTTTATTAACTGATCCCTGGATATAGATTCTCTAATGCATAACTCCCTGATTGGGTCAAGCAACCTACTTAGTCAAAAATGAAGTCTCATTTCAGAACATAGAAACACAGACAGGTTATTCAGCCCATTTGAGCCTGTGCAGCTTTTCAATTGATCATTGTTGACCTGTATCTCATCTTCTCCATTTACTCCTCATCCACAGCTTTTTAGATCTCAACCTCCTAAACCGAAGGGGGCACAAACCGTGTTTACACAAACTTGCATCATTATTTTATCCTTACAATTTAGTATCTAGTATGTCTGTTTTCCTGCTGACCCAAATATATCTTGCATGAAGTGCAATGCTGAAATTGAACACCAATCTATCTAGTTGGGGTTTGACAATGGTCTTGTATACAACAAGTGCTTTCGAAGCTAACATTTTCATTTGCTTTTACAAAATATATTTTGTGCTTGTGCCCTACCTTTTTTAGTGATTGGATTTGTTTTCTTAGATGTTCATCTTTCTCAAAAGTTCTTAGTATCTCTCTTTAATGGAGAGAAACAGATTTGTCTTTCCTTGGATCTAAAGTGGATAGTGTCTCACTTGCTTAGGAAGGGCATTGTTCCACTGTGCATAATTATTTGGTTATATGCATTAATGAAAGATTCTAAAGTTTTTTTTTTTAAATTAACTGCCTGAGAATGGGAATAGTAGTGCTGAGAACTATCTTTCTGCATCTACTATTGGCTCATCATAGGTAAGATTGGAAGCACTTCTTCTTGCTCTGGACCAAATATGAATAGTAGTTAAATCACAGCCTGTCACTTTTTAGGTCTAGCTGAGAGTACATTTTGAGGAGCAGCTAATTAGCCTCCATGGTCATTTGGCTGAAGTGCCAGTGGAATAGCAACGCCTGCGGATGTATCCTAAAATGAGTCTCGCCCCTTTAAAAAGGAGAGGAAGAATGAAATGGTATTTGATGCAGGACAGACAAGGCGATTTGAAAAACCAGACATTCCTCCCTGTTGTAAGTCAAAATTCTAAAATGTTCCTTTTCTTTTCCCCCCTCATTCAGTGTGTATCCTGTGGAAAATCTTTCAAGAAGCTTTGGTCCCTCCATGAGCATATCAAAGTTGTTCATGGCTTTGCTGAAAAGAAATTTTCCTGTGAGATTTGTGAGAAGAAATTCTACACAATGGCTCATGTTCGGAAACATATGGTTGGTGAGTTAAGAATAAGATTATATTAATTTTGGATTGAAGAGCGTAAGATGCTTTGTAATATTTCTTAATTTATTACATGTTAAAAATAGAATTTAAAAATAGTGAGTTCCGGTACATAGGGAACCCCGTATTATCATGTGCAGTCACGTCTAACAATTATTCAAGATAATGATAATTACAAGTAATAAAAGATCACTTGACCAATATTACTTCATTATATCTGGAACATTTGAATACTTGGAACAAGTGGAATCCCAGGAATTTATTTTATCTTCAAAGGCTCCATGAGTTGCTGAAGCTGCCATGGTCAATATCTTGAGGGTCACCATTGACCAGAAGTATAACTATAAGCAGACTTATTAACGCTATGTACAGGAGCAAAGAAAATATTGGGTGCTCTGCAGTAATTCATCCAACTGCTAATGCTCAAAGCCTATTGTCTATAATGCTGCAGTAAGAGTAAGATAGAATGCTCAGGATCTGATAGATGAGCTTAATACCATTGGCACTGGAGATGTTCAGTGTCATCTAGGACAGAGCAGGACTCAGTGACCAGACGCTGTCTGGCTGATGTGCTGTGCCTTTGCATCCTGTAGACAGTATATACAATGTAGCAAAAGAATAGAGTTACAAAACAAGGAGGAGGCCATTATGATTCTCATGTCTACCAGCTCTGTCCGAGAACAATTCAGTTGGTACCACTCCCTCGCTTTTGCGTGCAGCCCTGCAAATGTTTTCTCTTGAAGCTACTTGAACAACATTTCTCTCCTGTGCACCCACAAATAAATTAAGACCAGCTACATTCTAGGAACATTAGTAATATATTGCAACCTCCAAGTTCTAGTATATCACCATTCCTCCATATTTTGTTTGGTCTAGGACTCTCTATACATGAGAGCAATAATATAATGAGGGCTACATTGGTTTAAGAAGTGTAACTAAGGATAGGTGATAAATATAAACTGATCTCCCACATCCTACAAATACTTTCTTATTTAAAAATAATTTGCTGCATCTAGTTGTTTTTCTAACTTATCCAGGAATTTGCAATCTGCCATGCTGTCCAGAAGTCCTTCGCACTTTGTTCATGAAGAAAATCTTCTTTATCTGTACCATAGTCAGCCTTTGTTAGTTTGAGTGTCTGCAAGGAAACAAAAGTACAATTTTATTCTAAGATACTAGGTGTACCTCCTCCATATGGTTTATTATTTTATAGAGATGTTCCTCCTGTGTTAGTGACCAGAAGTGATGCTGTACTGAAGCATGGTCTGACCAGAGCTTCACGCATTTTGATTGTGACTGTATAGACTATGTAGCTCTATATTCCTTTGACTGTATTGATTACACCTCTGGTTTAAAGCAAATTAAAACTCTAAGTTTCTTTCCATGTCATTCTTATCTATTTCACATTCTTATCTATTTTAATCTAATATATTTAGTACACCCGTAGCTTATTTATCCATTTTCTATGCAGTACATTGCATTTATCTGTTAACTTTTGTTGATCCGGAAGTTTGTTTTATTTTTAGCTGCTTCCTCTGATTTTCTGCTTTTAACAGTTTAGTATCCCCAGCCTTTTGACAGCTCTGGGTTCTGTTGACTAGGCCTAGGCTAATTTATGCAACAAAGAAATGTAAATTCACCACTGAGCCAGGGACACATACTACTCCGAAGTACCTCTCCAGCCCAACCTCCTTTGTCTTTGAACCACTTTATTAGCCGATCACAGGACTTGCACTGAATCTCCACACTTTCCGTACCCTCAGGGATTTGGTTTCCAGTATGCTTTTAATCTAGGTAGGGTTTTCCACAGTCTATTTGGATTGGTACTTTCCCCAAAAACACGATTTATTTTGTAATAAAGATGCTGTATTAACTGAGAGCCTACAGCTCGGGGATTTCTTTTATTCTCACGTTCTGTGGCTGTCACTTTAGCTTCTTTCACTTAATGTTCACTTAGACTCAAGAGTGAAGCTTTTAAGGGCTAGGAATTATGGATGGATATTCACATTCAAGTATGTATTAATTTCAAATGGAAATGTTTATATAATGACTATGCTACCATCTTTTTCCTTTGGTGTACATAACCAGATCAATGTTTTTAATCATTCGTGTGATGGCATCACAAGCTAGGCCAGCATTTATTGCCCATCCCTATTTGCCAGGGGGCAATTAAAAGGCAACCATGTTGCTTTGAGTCTAGAGTCACATAGACCAGACCTGTAAGGCCAGCAGATTTGCTTTCTTAAAGGGCATTAGTGAACCCAGTTGTTGGGGGGGAAAAAAAAAAATCCAATTGACAATGGTTTCATGGTCATCATTAGCCTCTTAATTCCAGATTTTTACTGAATTCACATGCCACCATCTGCCATGGTGGGATTTGAACCTAGGTCTCCAGAACATTACCTAGGTCTTTGAATTAATAGTCTAGCCACAAGGCTGCAACTCCCTTTCTAAAAGTTACGTGACTTTAATTGTTCACCACTTTGTTATTCATTTTTGCAAACTTAGATAAACTACCTGGTGGTAAAAACGAATTGCAGCTTTGTTGCTCCGTGAAGCCACACCTGTTTTTGACTTCTCCAGTAAAAGGCTGTCATGAACTTTCACCATTGTGTTAGCTCATCCTTCCTCAGTATTTGCTCAAATCAGTCATGAGACCAGTATACATGAGTAAAGTGACCATTCTACTGGACATCCTGCAAACTCTTTCAAAAGAACACAGTAGTGCAATTTATGATCCAACATCCTCCAGTAATTATACTTTAAGCTGAAGTGAACTTGCATAATACCCCAAAGAAAGTATGCAGAGTACAATATTTCTATTTCTGAAATTTTAAAATTTCAGACAGCAAAGTCATGATCATTTCATTGGTGCACTATCAAAGTTTGTGAGCTGAAGATGCTGAATTTTAAGCTTCTGAACATTGTGTAAAGGGAAAATAATACTGTATATTTAGACATTCCTGTTTTGAAAGACTGGTCTAATTTTTAGGCTTAAAATATTGCAGGAGAGGGAAACTTCCTTGTGCTGAATAGACTCCCACAAACTCTTCTGAATATCCAATATCTGCACTCTTCCTTTTTTTTTCCTCATAGTTCAACAAATAATTTCTGCTCCTCACATACATTTTCCCACCCCCCTCCAATTCTGCCTTGTCTTTCACACATTGCAGCAATCTCTTAGACCCGTTCCTGCATACTCAGTGATTATAACTACTAAAAGCATCTCGTAATCCTGAGTTTTACAGTTACTCCTTTGGGCGGACAAACAGAAAACACATGAAAGGTGTAATTCTCATTCTTATGTTCATTGACATGACCTTCTGACGTCTGTAGAGGAGAGTTGCAGAAAACAAACCAATTCTCCTTCCTCTACAGATAATATGGTAGGGAATTCACTTGGTGATTTCTGTAGTTCTTTGAATAAAGCCTTAACTTTGCTGAATCACTGAGAATCAGATGAATATGATTGGGAAGACTGGACCATTCCAGTAACTAGAAAAGATCCCAGTGTCTGCCTTGGAACATCCCATCCATGCTTGGGTGATTTGGGACAAGACCTCTCTGATGTTAAATTGGTGTGAGATTGACTGATGTTAAATTGTCAAAAGAATTGCATTATTAGATGAAAACTTCAAATACAATGACACATTCAACATCAGTGACACGCAAAGATTCAATGTGCTGTTTCTAGTGTCTTTAAACTTTGGATTGGAACCCTTCCTACTGATCTTGCATAAATGAAATAAGCAGTTTTACAGTTTTATTATGTCCACATCATAACTGACACATCAAAAAAGGCCTATTATATTAACATTACAGACAGTCTATTCAAGGATGGCTAAACATGTAGGATTCTTTTGAAATAGACGGCAGACTATGCAAAGAATATTTGACAGAGTTATGAAGCTAAGTAAAGAGATTCTTTTGAAATCCTACATGGTGTTTGGAGTAATTCTTGTAATCAAAGAAAACACCATTCACAGTCCCTGCTAGGTACTCCCAATATCTCCACTTACCTACTCCCAAAGTGTGTGCGTGATTTGATCTTCACTCTGTAGACAGTAAAAGAAAAATACACGATAATTTTCTGTACCCTGGGCTGCAGTCAATGATCTAGATTTGGGAATTTATTTAGTATTCTTAGAGGACAAAATTGTCTACTTAAGCTAATGTTAAAATAATTGCAGGTGTTGGGGCTAACAAAGAGCATTTGTACACACTTGATCCTTGTCACCAAGGTTGGCTCTATATGCAATCTCTTTTTTTCTCTCTCTTTTCTCTCTTTTTCCCACCTCTGACCCCCTCACCCCCTCATTTAAAGAGAGATGGATGGCAGTGAGTTTTAAACCTGCGCTGTTGGCATCTGCATTGCAAACCAGCCAACTAAGCTAACCGTACTTCCCTATCTGCAGGAGACCTGTGCCCCAAACCCCTGCAGTTTTAGGTGTAATATGCTTCTTCAAATCGCTCCTCCAAAAATAACAACGTATAAAATGCACCCTTCAAAAGTAGGTGATTTAGGCTGTCAGTGCTGTAGAAGTCGTGTGCTGTGAACAGATTCCTTAGTACCAGGAACGTAGTACACAAATAGTTGTTTCAATGTTTGCACTTGCAGCCAAACACTGACCCTTGAGCTGTTCTTTGCACCTCTGGCAGCAGCTGTGCTCAATTTATATGAAAGGACTGCCACTAAAGTCAGTATTTCTGCAGAGTCAGTTTTTGAACTTCATCCTTTTCTGGGCCTGTATCTAAAATAATTTTCTTAGTTTTTTAGCACATTGACCTTCAGAATCCAAAAATGCTTGAATCTTCCCTTGTCCTCGTCAAAGTGGTACTGAAATGCACTGTTTCCTGTGATCCAATTATTCCTTTCATGGGTTTGCTTCTTTGCTTGATCGTCGCAGCCAAAGCAGAATTTTCTCTTCTCGGACCGGTTCCGCTTTTTTAATGGGACTCTTACTATATTTATTTCTTCAGGTGGAACAGTTTCATAGGAAGAATAGAAAGGCCGAATCTTTGGAATACTTTACCCCAGAGAGCAGTGGAGGCCGGGTAATTGAATGTATTCAAATATAAGTTAGACAGATTATTAATTTAAGAGTCAAGGGCTATGACGGGTGGACAAAAATGTAGAGTTGAAGCCACGGTCAGATCAGCCATTATCTTCATGAATGGTGCGTTAGGCTCAAGGGGTCAAATGGTTCCCTCCTGCTCCTGTTTCTTATGTTCTTTCTTATTTCAAAGAAGGTAGAATAATGAATACATATTGATATTCTTCAAATTATGTTGCATGTAATTTGAGAAAAATGCAAAGAGGCTTCAAGCAGACTTGGATAGACTATGTAAAAGGGTAAGAACATGACGGAAAGAATATATGGATAGTGTGAAGTTGTCCATTGTTGGGAGAACAAAAGAGACAGAACATTTCTTAACTGAGAAGTTGGGAGGTATTGGTGTCCAGAAAGGGTCCTTAAGTGTCCTTTGTGTGAGTCACTGAAAGCTTGCTTGTAGTTGCAGCAGTATTGTTGGTCTCTATTACGAGGGAATTTCAGTACAGAAGTAAAGATGTCTCGCTGCAATTGCAGGGAGTCTTGGTGAGACTTCACTTACGGGGACCAAAACTGTACACAATACTTTATCAAAGAAAGGATATACATGTCATTGAGGGAGTGCGGTGGAAGTTCACAAAACTAATCCCTGGGACAGCAGGATAGTCTAAAGAGGAGGGATTGAGGAAACTAGGCCTAAGTTCTTTTAAGGTTTCCAAGAGTGACAGGTGATCTCATTGAAACATACAAAGGTTTCATAAGGACCTGACAGGGTGAATGTAGATGGATTTTCCCTATTTCAGTTTAGAACTGGGGACATAATCTAAAATTAAGTGACAGGCCTTTTAAGACCTGGATGAGGAGTTTCTCATTGAGGGTGGTGAATCTTTGGACTTCTGTATCCTGAAGGCTGTGGATGGCTGGAAGCTAAATCATTGAATGTGTTCAAGACAGGAGGAGACTAATAACATCAAGGCAGATGGGATTGTGCAGGAAATTGGTTTTGAGGTAGATGATCAGTCATGATGTAATGAATGGCAGAGCAGGTTCAAAAGGCTGAAAGTCTACTCATGTTCCTACTAAAAAAAAGTTTCCAGGTTCTATGTATCTTTATTTAAAGGAGTACTCTCAAATTAAATCGACTCTAAATATACTGACTGGTTTACATTTTGTAGTTATTCAATATTCAGCAATATGAAATAAATGCTACGGCAGTCTTTTGCCACAGTAGCAAGTGTCTCATCCTGAGTGTTACAAGGTCCAGGTTCATGTTCATGTTCACATGCCACAGCTGTGATGTAACATGTTCAAACAGGTTGATTTAAAAATAATTTTAAAATAAATGCTTTACTCAGGTTCTGCTTAAAATAGGTGCAACTGAGACACATAAAAATTATTAGTTGCACACTAAATGTAGATGTTAGATCATTTTAATCGTGGTTACAATCACAGTAATTTGTCATAGTATAGAGATTTTGTACTGGATTGAAGAACTATGACAGCGAAAAGCTTTAATCCATGTTTAATTTTAGGACAACCTGTAGATTTTGCACTATTATTTGCAAATTTGAGTTTACTAAATTGTTGCGATTGATTTTATTTTTTCCATAGAAAAAGAATGTGTACTGCTGTAATGATACAAAGGTTGCAGTAAATTTTGTTCTGTAGTATTTGGACATTTGTTGTTTCAGCACATACAAAAGATATGCCATTCACCTGTGAAACATGCGGGAAATCTTTCAAGCGGAGCATGTCATTGAAGGTTCATTCTCTTCAACATTCAGGAGAAAAGCCTTTCAAATGTGAGGTAAGTGATTTATATTAGTTCTGAGTTCTAGGGAAGGGTCACTTGAGCTGAAACGTTAACTCTGCTTTCTCTCCACAGATGTTGTCAGGCCTGCTGAGCTTTTCCAGCAATTTCTATTTTTCTTTCTAATTCTATTAGTATGGTTTTGTATTTGTAACCATAATATCACAAATCATGTTTGTTTCTGACCTGCAGTCTAAACATAACATGAAAGTAGTTTCTGATCAGATATTCCAAAACCTTTGTTCTCCAGTGGAAAGATATTGCTTTCAAAATTATAAATTTGTTTACTGGTTGAATCGGACTTACTGCCTGTGACAGGAACACTCCTTGTTGTACTTTCATATTTTGCCGCTTGCACCATTTGTTATATGTAAATAAGTAAATTTAATGCTGTGGTCAAAATAACTTTTTTCCTTATTCTGTTTAAGACCAATAGCTGGAGATAAAATGTATTCACGTAACATATGATTTTCAAATGGCAAGCCCTCATTTTTACCTTCCCGGCGAGTTACAAGTAAAATTGGAGATTCTTGGTGTGAATTTCATAGATACGCTGAAATGCATGACCACGTATGTTTGTTAGTGAGATTCTTGTATAAATTAAAGTTAAGAATGTATTAGGAGCTTTGTTTTATTTAAAGGCAATTTATAAATCTTTAATGTATTGAGACTTTTTACTAATTTATGCTTTATTGTTTCTAAAAAGTAATCAAGATCATGAATAATCCATGTGAAATGATATGGATCACTGATTACGGACTGTTGCCTGCAAGGCAGCAGGTTGCTAAAGCACAGACAAATTAGAAAGGGCAATACACCACTCCAACTCATGGTTATTAATCTGGCTAGGTATTGTGCATTGCACCCAGTTTTTAGGTCATAGTGCAAGTGTGTGCATAATACATATCAAACGGAATTAAAGAAGCTGTGTTTATATTAGTATCATTGAACAGAATACTAGAAATTGATCTCTAAATGAAAATAGCTAGTATATTCAATTTTATTAGGATCAGTTTTCTTTGCAGGATTACAGATAAAATGAACAGGAATATGAGAAAATATTTTGAGTATAATGAACAGCTTCTCTCCTGCAGTACCTGTTTGTTGGATTGTTGATTGGTTGGTGTTCTTGGATCTAGTGATAATGGTGACCATGACCTATTTAAGATTAGTTCCTATAATCAATCAACCAAGAAAATTAAGGCTAATGTGCTAATAACAAAATATCTGTTCATTAAAGGTACATAAATGGATAACTAAAACAAATTGGTCTTTAAAATGGTTAAATAGTCTTTAATATCATTTCTGAAGTGGTAATTTGCATAAAGCTTATTTTACTTAAAATGATTTGTCACTTTCTAAATGGTGCGCTGTTTACATCAGAAAGTTATCACTTTCAAAGAGAGATTAAACTTGCAATGTATAACTGATAATCCAAATATTTAAATATTAAGTCGATTAATTATCTTTCAGAACTGTGATGAACGATTTCAGTACAAGTACCAACTTCGCTCTCACATGAGTATTCATATTGGTCATAAACAGTTCATGTGCCAGTGGTGCGGCAAGGACTTCAACATGAAACAGTATTTTGATGAGCATATGAAAACTCATACTGGTAAGAACATGATAATGCCACTTGATACTTGGATTCTTATTTTTGTGTAGTTAATTGAAATTTTCAATACACAACAAAGCATGAGTTTTGCAGGTGATCTGGATTTCTCCTGAACACAACAACTTTGGCAAGATGACACAGACAATTTGTGTCATGAAGTGGAATGTTATTTTGTTGCATAGTCTATATTCTGTCTAGTATCATCTTGTACTGTAGATGTGCTCTAACCTTATTGAAATCTACAGCTTGTAAAATAAAATCTGATTTCATTTGTGAGTTAAAATCCTATACATTTGGATATAAGTGGAATCTGATGATGCAACATGACCAAGTTGCAGGCAAAAATGTTCTTTTTTCAGGCAGGAAAATTTAAGCCCAGTGCTATAGCTAATTTTTGCCTGTGGAGTTTGATCATCTTGGGACAAGAAAATATGTCAGTGCAAGGAATTTTATTTTGAGTAATACGAAGGCTGTGTGCCATAGGAAAACAATATTGCAAAGATCAATGAGGTGTCAGAGAAAACAGTGATACAGTTATTTGTGAATTGTATTTTCCATTATGACAGCAGGCAAACTATTTTTCGTTTCAAATTGGGTGGTTTTTTAAAACAGATTTTCTGTGAATTGACTAATGAGAGTATTTTGATTTTCAGCATATGTTGTCTGAATAGATCTGTAATACAGAGATAAATGGCTTTGAATAAAGGAGTACAGTTTAATTCAACTGTTTAAACACTAGACATAAAATCTCATCATCTTCACAAACAGTATTGATCACTTTCAACAATTTTGAATACTGATTCTTTTTATAACGCTTTGTATGGCTCTTTCAAAAATTGCCACAGCTCCGAAAATTCAGATGCTTGTTTTCCTTATTAATGTTTTCGTAGCTTGTGAAGAACCAATAATCACAAAATTCATTGACTAGGCATACATAATTATATGTAATATCATAATTTGATTTTTGACACAAACAAAATGTTGCTGTAATAAATGCAGCACATTCTTGCTGAATATTTGCGTAGAATTACTTTTTTAAACGTGCATGAGGCTAGATTTAACTTCTTGATTCAAAAACTTCTGTAAATAAATTCCAATTTCAATAAGCTTAAAAGTGCAATTGTATTCTGTTAGAAGCAAACAAATTTTCTAACAGTCCGACTTGTGAATAAAAGTAAATTCAGACCCCATTGTTTTAAACATTATTTTAAAAGTCAATTGACATATATAAAAGAAGTCGTATAGGTCATGTCTTTTAAAACACTTGTGCAATTGAAAAATTGACATTTAAAGTCATTGATTGCAACCAGTGTTGTTATAACAATGTATCAAATGGTGAATTAGCACATATACGGTGTAGTGACTAGTCTGGACTTCCAGTCTCGATTTTAATATTGTGGCAACTGTTTGTTTGCCTTTTTTACTTCCAAATGTTGTAATAGCGGTATCTAGCCCTTTAAAATATAAACTGGTGTTATTACAAATTATATTTGTTGATTTAATCTCTCTTGGGATTTGAAAGAGTTGTAAATGCTAGGTTCTGGTGATGCAAAGATAAACAATATCTGTCACAACAGATGTTGCAATTAGGCATTTTCATCTGAAGACTGCAGTGTGATTATTTTCCAGATTTATGCAGAATTTTAATTTAAATATGTGCTACAGAGTAGAGGAAATAAAATTATAAATTCAAAACAACATTGTACACCCTACAATATTTCTAGATACTGTGGTAAACATCACGTGCTTGTTGCAATATGTATTCTGCTGGGACAACCATTGCTTTTATAAAGTTTTTTGATTTTTAACTGTTAAAATGTGCTACTGTAATCCTTTTAATGTCTGACATCCATTCAAGTGAATATTACTTTGTCATTATTTGGAAACCATACACATTTCAAAAGATGATATTTTAGTAGATCACAATTCATGTTGCTGTTTTTTTTTGTAATTTAATCTTTTTATGTTTATCTTTTCAGGGGAAAAGCCATTTATCTGTGAAATCTGTGGCAAGAGTTTCACAAGCCGACCAAACATGAAGCGCCATCGTAGAACCCACACTGGGGAGAAACCATACCCCTGTGATGTTTGTGGTCAACGATTCCGGTTCTCCAACATGTTGAAAGCCCACAAACAGAAATGTTTCCGGGTCACCAGCCCTGTCAACTTCCCACCTACTGCATCTGTTGCAACCAAACCCACTTCCCCACCTCCACCAGTCACCATAAGCTCTCATAGCTCATTTCCCCCTCGACCAATGCCACACCCACTTTCCCATCTGCACCTTCATCCTCCCCATCATACGCTTTCAATTCCAGCTGTTGCACACCTTCCACCACCACCAACCCTTTTTAATGCTGAAGCGGTGAACCATAGATGCCAAAATGAAAGCACTTTCCTTCACCACATTTCTGAAAAAAACACTGTAGCAGGTGGAAGCCATCATCATTGAAACATGGATATTTCTATTTGACATTTTAAGCTGTGCCGAATGAATGGCAATACTCCAATTTAACTGTGCACTAAGCAGCAAAGAAAAGACTGAGCAATCGTTGTGAACTACAAATATTATTTTACTAAACATCCATGTACTTTTTGCTGTTGTAAAACTAGCAAAGCAATTTTTATCTAATCTATTGTGCAAGACAACTAAGCTGTCTGTGTACAGTGAACTAAGGTTTTTATCATTTTTTTAAAAAAAACTCAGATGTATCCAGTTTTGTCACTTCATATCTGTTGATAAGATATGCTTTTTTAATATTAGACTATTCCTTTTGCATTAAAGTATGGTTATTTCTATTGCATTAAGATATTCTGGAGAAATTTAATCTACTAAATTAAATAATTACTTTCTCTTATGAAACATGAGAGCATTACATATTACAGTGCTGCAAAGATTTTTCTGAAGCTAATAGTTAAGACTAGATCATATTCTAGCCTAACCTGTCTGGCTAAAGCATTATGGAAAAGTCCTGTTAATAGATATGTCTTTCCCTTGACTTAAAGTTTTTAAATGTCTGTGTAGAATATTTAGAAATAATTCGAAGATATAAATGTATGTCATTAATGTTGTAATAATTATATTTTTGTTCTTGTAGCTGTTATATACATAAAATTCAGTTTTACAAATATTGAGTATATTTATTCCAAACCTTTTTTTGCATGTAAAAGTATGCACAATTACAGGTGCATTGTTACATATCTCTGCATTCTTCCACCTTCACATCTGTAAATTCAAGGGTACAGATTTTCATGCAAAAGCAACTAAGAAAGATTAATTTGATGCATTTTAAGCTCACTAATATATTAGCCTTCCTTTTGATACAAGTACCCAGATCTGTGTTCCTCCAATCTACAGCAAAACTTAACATATGTATTAGTATTTGTTTTCATTGAAGAAAATATGGACAAAGCTACCAGTTTTAAATATCTTGTGAAATATATTACATCTACTATGGATATTCAAAATCGAGAAATTAATATTTTTCAAAACAAAATTGAGCTGCTTCAAATTGAAGACCATCAACAACTCTGGCTAACAACACGATTTTAGCATTTCACTCTTTTTAATCTGCCGATATCTGCTCTAATGTTTCCAAATCAAGCTAATACATTCTTCCTGCATTACAAACCACTTGTTCTTGTTAATGAAGTGGCAATAATTACATTCTCCCCTTCCCTTTTTAAAATTTGTTTATTTTGTTCTCTTTTGAAATCCAGTCTGTGTCCACTTCCCTATTTTCAGTGAATAACTTCTTCCATTCCTGAGTTCCTAATTTCTTTCCAATACTAGGGATGTACACCATTTTGAGTCTCTAAGGTTTTGGAGTAGATTTGCAGCTCGGGTTGTGGTGTTGAGGTTGGTTGGCTTGCCGAGCTGGTTTGTTGTTCCAGAGTTTTAAAAACCAGGTGGGAAAACATACCGACACTTCATCGGAGGCTGCAAAAGATGTTACCCAGCAAAGTAATGAAACGTCCGCAGAACAACAAACCAGCTCGGCGAGCCAACCAACCTCAAAACCGTTTTGAGTGTTTAAACACCGGTTGTGGCTGAGATGCCTAGGCAGTTTATGGACTGATAACCTAGAAAATGTATCTAGTTTTTGCAAGAGTATCATTGATATCTCTCAGGATGGATAAGCATTATTGCTTTCCATGTAATGATGAGACTTCTGCTCCTGTTTTGAAGTTTTAGAATTGGTGTAGCCAATTTTCATAAATGTTTGCTCAGATTTTCCTACAGCCGTACTTGGAACAGAGTTCTCAATATGTTTAATTCTATGTATCTGAAAATGACAAAGTTGTGGTCTGCGGACAGAAATGGATCCTTTGTTATGACATAAGTAATTAAAATTGTGAAGAGTTTGCAAAATGGGATGAACTTTCACTATCCCCTAATATGGCTGTTGACTCTTCTCCAAACACCTCTTTCAATCTTATCTCTGACTTATCTCAAGGGAAGGCAATGGCCTAGTGGTATTATCACTGGACTGGTTATACAGAGACCCAGATAGTGTTCTGGGAACCTGGGTTTGAATCCCGCCCCAGCAGATGGTGGAATTTGAATTCCAATTTTTAAAAGAAAATTTGGAATTTAGAGTCTAATGATGACCATTAATCCATTGTTGATTGTTGGTTCGCTAATATCCTTTAAGGAAGGAAACTGCCATCCTTACCTTGTCTGGCCTACATGTGACTCCAGACCCACAGCAATGTGGTTGACTCTGGGCAATAAATACCGGTCTAGCCAGCGATGCCCTCATCCCATGAATAGAATAGAAAGGCACTATCATTGGTGAGTTCTTAAAGCCACTTAGACTGAAAATTTGCATGTGCACCTAAATTTGCACGTTACCACCTAAAGATTTTGATAATGTTGTACACAAAAGCTGCACTGCAAATGTGCTGAGAAACATGATATTGAACGACAATTCACCAGGGTGGAAGGCCCATTTTAAATGTGCATGCACGAATTTAAGTAGTGCACTGTGTGCGTGTGTGTGTGCGCGTGCTGGTATCAGCCAACACAGCCCAATAAGAGCTCCGGTAAAGAGCTGGTATAGGCATGATTGTATGAAAGGCCTCCTGTTCTTTTATTCTAAGATTCTACTTTGTTCAAACTTTTTAAAATAAGGTGGGTTTTTTTTCAGTATTTCTTGCTGTTGTTCCACTGCTTCCCTAAAGCTAAATGGTCCTTCAGGAAAACTAGTTTTGTATCAGGCTGTAATCGGATTTGAGCTTCAATTCTTTATGGCAAAGGATCTGCCTTTAAATGCACAAGATGCCCATTTTCAGCTTTGTCATTTACCCTAATGCCAATTTTGCTGTCAATAGTTCTTTTGTATTCTGAATCACTTCCATAGAAGGACAAACCATAACCAGATTTTGAATAACAAATGTTTTTCTGTAGGGAGACTTTTTCACATTGACCCATATAACCAGTATTGGAGGGGATTGTTTTTAAAAACAAATCAGACTAGATAGGAAATCGGATGGTTTAAATCAAAAATATGTGAAAAGAAACTGCTTCCTTTTTATTTTTCACTTTGGTTAGATTTCACATTCTGTAGCTTGATGTCAATGCACGTGAGAGTAATGACATCAACAAGATGGAATCAAGGTCTTGGAATCTCTTTTGCAGGTCACTGTAAGATGTAGGAGCAGAATTAGGCCATTTGGTCCATCAAATCTGCTGTCGTTCAAACATGGCTGATGTGTTTCTCAACCCCGTTCTCCTGCCTTCTCCCTATAACCCGTGATCTCCCTACTAATCAAGAACAATCAATCTCGGAGTTTTTAAAAAAAACTCAATTATGCCTTTTGTGGCACTGAGTTGGCCAGATTCACCTCCCTCTGCCTGAAGAAATTCCTCCTCATCTCAATTCTAAAGGGTCATCCCTTCACCAAGGAGTGATGCATCATTTTCTTTGGTACATTTGTAAGTCAAGGTTATTCATTATACCCTATATTTGGAAATACCCTGCATCTCTGAGCAGATTTTTGATGAAAAGCTATTGAACAAAATGAACAATCCTCCTTGATTTGGAAATGATTGTGCAACTCTAAAGATTGATCCTTTGTGTGTCTGGAGCAGGTGGGTCTTGAATCCAGGCCTCCAGACTCTCTCACTGCACCACCATTTTATCCGTTATTATCCCTGACCACCTTGATGTACTGTTAGAATTTAATCCAATGTCTTACTTGATCAATCCATAGGGCATTTAAGCATCAAACACATTTGTACATGACTTCAGTTCCACCAACTAGATTAGGCATAGTTGTCCGATTTCCTTCCCCAAAGAACATGCATGCTCTAGTGTTTTTTTACAACAATTTAACAGTTCTGTGATATTTATTGGAATATGTAAATTCCTGTCTATATCACTTTTGAAATTAAATTCAAATACACAAGCTGTATTGGAACTAGAATTCTCATTTGTTGGATTATTAGCCTAGTGATAAAAACTATCCATTTTGCACAATCGTGAAGCTAAAAATTGGTATCTTCAAATTGGAAGTAATGATACCTTTCTATAATGCAATAAAACTGCAAAGATCAATGTGTAACATTCTTGTATGTTGAATTGGTTGACGTAAAACTGTATTAAACATAACCCAGTTACTCTGTCATTTGCCCATCTACAATTGTGTGGAATTGACAAAATTAATGATGATATAACTTGGGGTATTCAATCACAAGACTGGAGAACCCGTTTGTTCTAGGCAATTAAATTGGGAGGATCCCAAACTAGAACAGCATGACATGAGGTGTGTACATCCAATGATAACAGTAAATTTGTCAACTCTTTAATGGTGGCTTTTTTAAAGAAAATTATTTTGAGATATGGACATCACTGATATGGGCAGTGTTTGTTGTCCATCTTTAATTCTCCTTGAACTGGGTGGCTTGCTAGGCCAATGCAGATGACATCTAACAGTCAATCATGTTATTTGTGGTTCTGAGACCATGTGTATGCCAGACCAGCTATGGATGGCAGATTTCCTTCCGAAAAGGACATTAGTGGACATTGGGTCTTTATGATGGTTGATGGTTTAATGGTCATTATTGAGACTAGCTTCATATTATAGATTTATTGAAACTAAATGCCACCAGCTGCTATGGAGGGGTTTAAATCCATGTCCCCAGACCATTAAAGTGGCCTCTAGATTATTAGTTAATTCTCTTTGTCACCACTTCAAGACCCCAACCACATACTTTGTTTTGTGAAATTAATTGAGAATGAAAATCCAACACCTGTGGAAAAAACGTAAAGTGTCAACTGGTCCCTAACCTGAATTAATTACTAGAATTTGAGAAACTTAGGAGATTGAATGAATAATTAAACATTATATAAATCCAAAATTGTTCTTTATGTTGAATATGTTTTCTATGATTCTGCAATTCATCCTGCATAACTGACCCTGCGTCAATATATAATGCATCTGGAGCCACCAAATTGAATTGAGGTTAATCAGAAACTGAAGTTGTATTGTGGTCACCAGATTGGTGTGAATAGGTTGGAATCTGAGGAAAAAGATTTTTAATATTGATTTCAGTTCGAGCAAATATCATGTATTTAAAAAATGTTTACAAATGTATCTATAGACCTTTCTGATTCACTCAACATGCATATATAAGAATTGCCCTATAGTGTTTGAATTTCTTAAAAAGACATGTCTTGTGTTTTTTTTTATTTCTAGGATGATGGTCAATCTTATTCGTATAAAATTCTGTTCGATGATATTTTTGCGTTCTTAATAATGTACTTAAAATTATATTTACTTTTCCAGCCAGGTTGTTTACAGCTATTTTTCTTGTCTGTTTCATCCTTTTGTTGTATTTAAATTGCTTTTTAGGCATCTGACAAACCAAGTGACTGTATTTCAAATTTAATTAACCAATTGGATCATACTTTGGAGAGACCTTGGGTATCCAGACTAAATTATGCAAATATAATTTTGTTCTTCTTGGTCTGGGGCTCAATTACATTACATTGGAGTCCGTTACATGCATTGATTACTCTTAGAGTGGAGAACTACATCCTGACATCCAAGCTAACATTTTCTTTTGCTAATTTGCGCTTGTGCTCCCTTATTAATTAGGCTAGTAATTAATTTTCCTGATTTAGCT